AATTACTTAGAAAAAAATGTAGAAGGAAGAAACTAGTAGTTTCAATAGATTTACTCATTTTAGATAATTCAATTTAATGTATATGGATATGTAATCAAGCTGGATAAAGTTATTTACAGCGTTATCAACATTATTAAATCAAATTAGTTTATAAGGTGAAAAATCGGTTCACAAGGAGAAAAATTGAATTCGATAAATTGAGAAAGAAATTCAAAAATCTGTCTCTATCCATTTAAGCAAGTTTAACAAGAGATCCGTTTATTGGATAGCTACTATAAAATCAATTAATATTATTATTAAAATTGCTTTCCCAGCCTAGTTAATAGCTTAATAATAGTAATAAAGTTCTGATCTAAAGCTAATCTTAACCAATTAATGAAAATCAACTTCTCTTTTAGATCTCAAATCTCCAGAGTTAAAATTACATTAATATGCACCTAATAATTGATGACTGGTTTTAGATATTTAACATTATAGATTATTAACTTTGCATTAAAACCTTTATGCTTATTTTATTATGATTGAAAGACATGGGATGTGATGATAAGCATTAACTTCGATTATTCATAACTTTAACTCGATCATGATGATATTTTAATAATTTTTATAAGTTATAAACATTGATGTAATTTATTATTTCATAATAATCATAAAAATAATGGATTTTTTACAACTAATTGCTTTCTTCTGCAAATCAATTTAAATTTTAATAATAATCCTTAACAGGTTAAAATTAAGCTACTTTGAATTGAAATATAATTAGAGTTAAAAGATACAATTTTGACTATTTAATCAAAATTATAGAAAATTAAGAAGACTTGTACGTTCTATGAATCCTAATCTTTCAATTTAGATGCTTATTTTAGATAATTTACAGAGAACAACAAAAGATTTTTATGCATAAGATTTATTGATAATTTAAGATTAATATAGTTTAAGTCTATAAACTGTGTATGCTTAGATGTAAAGGACATAAGGTAAGAGCTACAGCGAAACATTTAATAGAGAGACATTTAAGAATATCGGAAGACAAATGATTAAGATTGATTTTTAGTAATCAAGGAAAGAAGAAAAGAATTTAAAAGATGGAGCGTTAGATTGAGGAGTGTATTTGAGAGAGTAACTTGAATAAATGTGAATGAATTTATATATTTTGTGTTTATCTCCCTTGCAGGGAAGAATGTAATGTAATGTAATTTAAGATCTAATCCTGAAAAGGTTGATTAATGATGAGTGTTTCTTATTATTTGAATATTCTAATTTTGATCAATTTTGAGATTTTCAAACTATTTTATATATGAAGATTGTTAAAGATTATGACTTAAAAGAGATTAGTAATAATTGTCAACATCCTTCACAAAAACGAAAACATAGATTTCTAAAGTAATCTATTGAGATGGCGACCCAACATTAGCTTTATGGTTGCTTTCTACCTAACTTTTGCTTACATCTATTTCTTATTGCAGCTATGCACATTTCTTGTTGTTATTTGGATTCGAAAAAACAAATGCCCACATATAATTGAATGACCTATGAGTCAGTATCTTTAATCTAAGACACAGAATGTATATTGATGACCAAAAAGTGATCTGATGAAACTAGACACTTTAGTGATAATTAATACATATTTTTTGATAAAAAATCAGTAAAAATAGATGGCAAGTTTTTTGTAAAGAAATTATGTGTTTTATTAAAGAGTGGCAGAAATTCCTTTTTTTTATTGAATTGAAAACAAATGATATGTAACTCATAATATATATATGTTCAACTTTATGGATTAATTTCACTTACTGCTGGCTATCTCTTAGTTTCTTATAGTATCCTCGAATGCCCATTCATACTTTGAGGGATGTTCCTAATCCTATCAATTCCACATACAGAATTTGACTGGCTTGCATGCTTTAAGTCTCTAGAACTTCCCGCTAATCTCTATTTTCTTTTTACAGTCCATATTACCTTTAAACTATTCTTCCCTTAAGAAGGTTAAGCTCCTTTCCATTTCTCATAAAGTTGAGAAAATATAAATCTTGACTCCCTCCACTTGATACTAGTACAGATTCGAAAAGTTTGAGTATTGCGATTAAATTTTTTGTTTTGACTTTATTAGATGGAAAAAATATTTGGAATTGGGTGATTTCAGTTTTTATGTTTATTCCGTAAATATAGTTTAAGAATTTATTTTACTATTTTATATAATGAGCACGAAATATCCCATAAGCATTGATTAGGCAAAAATGTAATGCAGTGCATCAAATATTAAAAAAATTATAAAAGTAATTTATTATTTTAATTAATTTTCTAATATAGCATCTTT